GTATAAAATAAAAAAATCATTATATATATATTTTAAATATTAATTTAGTTTAATTTAATTATTAAAAATAATTATTAACTTGAATAAATAATTGATAAATAATAAATTTATTGATATTTATTATTTAATAGATTAAAATAAATTTATAAATAAATATTTTTTAACATTTTATTTAATAAAAAATACATATTAATTCTTAACTCTAAAAAAAATCTCAACTTTATAAATATCGTTTTATTTAATTTAAATTTAATTTAAATTTTAAAAAAATTAACTTTATTAAGATTTCCATTAAAAAAAATAATATAGGTAAATCCTTTATTTTCACTAATAATGTAAATAAATTATTCTCATTCATGGGTTTCATACTTTTAAGGTGATATTAAACAAAAAATACCATTTAGTTAATTTGTGACAAAGATTTATTTACATCTTTGTGACAATAATTTATTTACATTATTAATGAAATTGAAAGGTTTATTTACTTTATTTTTACTTTAGGGATTTGAATGATATTTTGAAATAAGTTAATAAAGTTGCTCTATTTTGGATAAACTAATTTAACCAGGAAAAAGGAATATTGATGACGCAAAAGAAGAGGGTGCATTATTACCTGTTTGCGTATCCTTTATATTTAGATTAATAGAACTTCTTTCTCTTTGCCAATTAAAAATAATAATAATAATAAAAAGGAAAAAAGAAAGAAAGATCCCGGCTCTCACCCTCAACCTCACTTAACTAAACAACATCCAGTAGCTGTAGCACCAATACAAACATATGTACCATCATAGTTATGTCAAATTAATGCAACTCCATGTGATAAAGATCTTTGAGCAACCGTTTTGAAATTAACAGCTGTTCGAGCAGAAATTATACGTAGTTTGACCAGCGAGGAAGACTTGCAAAGCAGATCTAGGGACACATTTTTATGTCCAAATCAACAATATTTTATATTCGGGATTGAGTTAAAATTTTGAGTTAGGGGAATAAAATTTTAAAATTTTTTAGTCATTTAGGTTTCATTTAATCATATTTTCTATAAACCTTTTCACAATAACTTTTATAAAAATATAA